CCATGTCGGCGCGCTCCTCCCGAGGATCGCGCCCGCTTCCTTCCCGTTCTTGTTCTCTCTCTCTTTGCCCGTGCGCGCCCATGTCCGAGGCTGCGGGCGCGGCGCCACACGGGGCCCCCGCGACGCACGCCGGTCGCCCCGAAGGGGTCCCGGCGACGCGCGCGGGTCGTCCGCTGCGCGGAGCAGAGAGAGCTGGCTGGCTGTGGCCGCCGGGCAGAGAGACGACGGGGGCGAGCGAGGCTCTGGGCAGAGCGCAGCGCGGAATTCCCGCGACGCGCGCTGGTCGCCCCGAGAGGGCCCCAGCGACGCGCGGGGTGCCCGCGGCGCGAAGCCAAACAGTCAGACCGTCGAGAGACGGCGGGGCTCGGGCGGGTCGCTTTTCAAGTCAAGCCTCGCGGATAAACTCGGTGAAGCCCAGCTCCCTGGCGAGGGCCGTCGCCTCCCTCCTGCGCAACTTCGCGCGCGTAGCAAACTGCTCCAGCTGCTTCCGCAATCCCTCTGGCGGCCCTGCGGGGAAGAACTCGACGCGCGGCGCCCGCGTGAGCAGGAGTTCCTCGTGGCGCGTGGCGCGCGAGAGCAGCGCGTAGAGCTCCAGCCGCCAGTCCTCGTCCTCCATCCTGCCGTTCCCCACCTCGTGGCGGCCGCAGTCCAGGATCACGCCTGGGCGACGTCGGCCGAGGGGGCAGCACGCTGGACAGCCGACGGCCCAGGGCGAGAGTCCACGAGACGGAGAGAAGGTTTCCAAAACGTGTGAGGGGCCACGAAAAGTTTGAGGGACGTGCCCAAATAGGGCGGCGCCGCCATGCGGGCAGCGCCGCTGGGGCCTTAGATGGAGCTCCCGATGGGGCCACAACAAGCGCGAGGGGTGTGCCAGAATGGGGCGGCGCCGCCATGCGGGCTGCGCCACTGGGACCCTAGATGGGGCTCCCTATGGGGTCACGAAGCGTGTGAGGGGTGTGCCAAAATGGGGCGGCGCCGCCATGCGGGCTGCGCGACTGGGACCTTAGGTGGAGCTCCCTATGGGGCCACGAAGCGCGTGAGGGGTGTGCCAAAATGGGGCGGCGCCGCCATGCGGGCTGCGCCACTGGGACCTTGGGTGGAGCTCCCTATGGGGCCACGAAGCGTGTGAGGGGTGTACCAAAATCGGGCGGCGCCGCCATGCGGGCTGCGCCACTGGGACTTCAGGTGGAGTTCCCTTATGGGGCCACGAAGCGTGTGAGGGGTGTGCCAAAATGGAGCGGTGCCGCCATGCGGTTTGCGCCACTGGGACCATAGGTGGAGCTCCCTATGGGGCCACGAAGCGCCTGAGGGGTGTACCAAAATCGGGCGGCGCCGCCATGCGGGCTGCACCACTGGGATTTCAGGTGGAGCTCCCTATGGGGCCACGAAACGTGTGAGGGGTGTGTCAAAATGGGGCGGCACCGCCATGCGGGCTGCGCCAGTGGGACCTTGGGTGGAACCCCTTTTATGGGGCCACGAAACGTGTGAGGGGTGTGCCGAAACAGAGGCATGCGGAGAGCACAGGCAAGGAGGGGGAGGAGGAGGAGGAGGAGGAGGAGGAGGAGGAGGAGGAGGGAGGAGAAAGAGGAGGAGAGGAGGAGGCAGGAGGAGGAGGAGGAGGAGGAGGAGGAGGAGGAGGAGGAGGAGAGGAGGAGGAGAGGAGGAGGAGGAGGAGGAGGAGGAGGAGGAGGAGGAGGAGGAGGAGGAGGAGGAGGAGGAGGAGGAGGAGGAGGAGGAGGAGGAGGAGGAGGAGGAGGAGGAGGAGGAGGAGGAGGAGGAGGAGGAGAAGGAGAAGGAGAAGGAGAGGAGAGGAGGAGACGCGCGGCACCGTCTCTTCAAAACAAGGACCCAACACCACAGGATGGTTGGGAAATCAGCTTGACGAAAGACCCAACCATATGCAGTTGTGAATACCGCAATTGTGAGTACCATCTTCGCCCGCGCTCCCTATGGGGCCACGAAACGTGTGAGGGGTGTGCCAAAATGGGGCGCGTACCGCATGCGGGCTGCGCCACTGGGACCTACGGTGGAGCTCCCTATGGGGCCACGAAACGTGTGAGGGGTGTGCCAAAATTGGGCGCGTACCGCATGCGGGCTGCGCCACTGGGACCTAGGTGGAGCTCCCTATGGGGCCACGAAAAGTGTGAGGGGTGTGCCAAAATTGGGCGCGTACCGCATGCGGGCTGGGCCACTGGGACCTTGGGTGGAGCTCCCTATGGGGCCACGAAACGTGTGAGGGGTGTGCCAAAATTGGGCGCGTACCGCATGCGGGCTGCGCCACTGGGACGTGGAGCTCCCTATGGGGCCACGAAACGTGTGAGAGGTGTGCCAAAATTTGGCGCGTACCGCATGCGGGCTGCGCCACTGGGCCTAAGGTGGAGCTCCCTATGGGGCCACGAAACGTGTGAGGGGTGTGCCAAAATGGGGCGCGTACCGCATGCGGGCTGCGCCACTGGGACCATAGGTGGAGCTCCCTATGGGGCCACGAAACGTGTGAGGGGTGTGCCAAAATTGGGCGCGTACCGCATGCGGGCTGCGCCACTGGGACCATAGGTGGAGTTCCGTATGGGGCCACGAAACGTGTAAGGGGTGTGCCAAAACGGGGCGCGTACCGCATGCGGCCTGCGCCACTGTGGCCTAAGGTGGAGTTCCCCATGGGGCCACGAAACGTGTGAGGGGTGTGCCAAAACGGGGCGCGTACCGCATGCGGGCTGCGCCAGTGGGACCATAGGTGGAGCTCCGTATGGGGCCACGAAGCGTGTGAGGGGTGTGCCAAAATGGGGCGCGTACCGCATACGGGCTGCGCCACTGGGACCATAGGTGGAACTCCCTATGGGGCCACGAAACGTGTGAGGGGTGTGTGCCAAAATTGGGCGCGTACCGCATGCGGGCTGCGCCACTGGGACCTTGGGTGGAGTTCCGTATGGGGCCACGAAACGTGTGAGAGGTGAAGATGATGGTGGGAGGAAGGAGGAGGGGAGAGAGGAGGAGGAAGGAGAGGAGAGGAGAGGAGGAGGAACGCGGGGCGCCGTCTCTTCAAAACGAGGACCCAACACCACAGGATGGTTCGGAAAAACACATGGAACCAGTACCCCCCCAGCCCGAAATTCGTGTCAAATTCGGGTCTTCGGGTTGGGTTGGGGTGGTCTGGCGGGCAGTCACCTCCCCCCCTCTCGGTGGCGAGCCTTGGGGGGAAGCGGGAAGGGGGCGGGCCTTCTCAGCAGGCGGCGGGGTTTTTCAGAGGCCCTCGCGCCCTCTGATTTCCAGCCAGGAACATATCCCTATCCCTATGCTGGGCACCTCCTCATCGCGATGCCAATCTTAGGGATTCCCTTATTTTTTGAGGGCGAATCCCTAAGATTGTCATCGCCTTTTGGCGTGTCAATCTTAGGGATAGGGATACGTTCGAGGCTGGTAATCTGAGACGTGTTCCGATCAAGCCGTCTCCGAAGACGGAGACCGCTTCTCAGCAGTCAGGAGGAAAAAAACACACAGACACAATGAATCGTCGACTCCCTAGAAGATATGGGAAAATATGGGGGAAGTGGGGGGGAAGACAAAAACCCAGAACGTATGGGAAGATCTGGGGAATCCTGTCATCTGTCTCTACTAATCTGTGTGTCCCAGGGCCCCTTCAAGAAGGCCGGAGTGCTTCTGAGGAGCCCCGCCGCCTTCTGAGAGGGCCTGCGCCCTTCTCGCGTCCCCCTCGGCGCTCCGCCGGGCGGGGAGGTCTGGATGCTCGGGTCGTGACTCGTGTCTCCAGCGGCCGTTCGCAACGCTCCGGGCGCCCCCACGGCGATCTCGGCGAGGCGAAGCTGCTGGAAAGCACCCCGAGGCTGGACCGCCTGCAGTGGCCGGCGAGGACGTCCGCAAGCCGCGAACCTTGAGCTTCCCCCCTGGGCTCGCCGCTGACCCTTCCCCCCCCCCGCGCGAGGAGGTCGGCGGCACGGGCGGGCATGCGGGGCTGGACGAGGGCGAGGAGAAGCGAGGAGCGAGGAGCGATGAGAAGGAGCGAGGAGCGAGGAGCGAGGAGGAGGAGCAGCGAGGAGGAGGAAGAACGAGGCTCTCCGCCCCCCCCCCCCTCCTCCTCCTCCTCCTCCTCCTCCTCCTCCTCCTCCTCCTCCTCCTCCTCCTCCTCCGTTCTTTTTCCTCCTGATAATATCTCCCTGTTGCACCGCGAGGCCAGTTTTTAGGGCGGGCCAGGCGTTTCGCCTGAGACTTCTTCACCATTTATGAATCTGAAGCATAAACATTGGCAAGAGCTTAGCGGATTGAGGGCGGGTGGTTTTCAAATTGTGGCTCTCGCCTTAGCACGGCGCACATTCATTCTGAAAAAATTCAAGAGCTTCACGGGTTGAGAGCGGGTGGTTTTAGAAATGTGGTTCTCGCTTTAGCGCGGCGCACATTCGTTTCACCAAATTGCATGAGTTTCACCGATAGAGGGCGGGACGTTTTCAACATGTGGCTCTCGCCTTAGCGCGGCGCACATTCGGTTTTCTTTAAAGAAATGCAAGAGCTTCCAGATTTGAGGGGGGGGTTCGAACATGTGATCCTCGCCTTGGCGCGGCGCACATCCGTTTAACATAAGTTACAACAATTTCGCGGCTTGAGGGCGGGTAGTTTTCAAAATGTGGCCCTCGTCTCAGCGCGGCGCACCTTCGTTTTTTTTTTAACATTTGCACAAGCTTCACGGATTGAGGGCGGGTGTTAAACATGTGGCTCTCGTTTTAGCACGGCGCACATTCGTTTTAAACATTTGCAAGAGCTTCACGGATTCCCATCATCAACGTACCAGATATGGTGTTTTGGAAGAATTCAGGATTACGCGGGCGCAACAGTTACGTTGATTCGTTGTGTTGAAGTCCCAGGAATGGCGTTTTGGCACGATTCTCGATCGTCAACTCGCAACAGTCAGGTTGATCCGTGGCGGTAGAATCCCGAGAACAATGTTTTAGCATGCTGCAGGGTCTTCAAACGATTGTCCTGCAACGAGGCAGTTCCCGCAAAGGAAATGAACCGTTTTAGGGGCCTATGAAGGAGTTTGGAGGGAGGGTTTACATCAACATCGTTGATGCCTCTTGGGTTTTCCTCCTCTTCCTCCTGCTCCTCCTGCTCCTCCTGCTTCTCCTGCTCCTCTTGCTCCTCCTCCTCCTCCTCCTCCTCCTCCTCCTCCTCTTCCTCCTCCTCCTCCCCCCCCTCCATTCTTTTCCTTATAAATAGTTTCCCTCTGTCGCACCCCGAGGCCAGTTTTCAGGGTGGGCCTGGCGTTTCGCCTGAGACTCTCTCACCATGTATGAGTCTGAATCTTAAACATTGGCAACAGTTCTACATATGGAGGGAGGGTCGTTTTCAGAATGTGGCTCTCGCCTTAGCACGGCGCACATTCGTTCTGAAAAATTGCAAGAGCATCACGGGTTGAGAGCGGGTGGTTTTCAAACTTTGGTTCTCGTTTTAGCGCGGCGCACATTCGCTTCAAAAAAGAATGTAAGAGCTTCACGGATTAGGGCGAGTGGTTTTCAAAATGTGATTTTCGCTTTAGCGTGGCGCACATTCGTTTCAAACATGTGCAAGAATTTCACGGATTGAGGGCGGTTAGTTTTCAACATGTGGCCCTCGTTTTAGCGCGGCGCACATTCGTTTCAAACACTTGCAAGAGTTTCACGGATCGAGGGCGGTTAGCCTTCAACATGTGGCCCTCGCCTTAGCGCGGCACACATTCCGAGTTTCACGATTTCCCATCATCAATGTGTCAGGCATGATATTGTGGAAAGATTCAGGATTATGTTGGTGCAACAGTTACGTTGGTTCGCTGTGTTGAAGTCCCAGGAATTATGTTCTGGCGCGATTCAGGATTGTAAAGACGCAACAGTCAGGATGACCCGTGGCGTTGGACTCCCGAGAACAATGTTTTGGCATGCTGCAGGGTCTTCAAACGGTTCTCTTCCAACGAGGCAGTTCCTTACATGGACATGAACCCTCGTAGGGGCCCATGAGGAGGGAGCTTGGAGGGAGGGCTGATTCCAACATCGTTGATACCTCTTGGGTTTACATTGGTCCTCTTCCTCCCTCTCCTCCTTCCCTCCTCGCTCCCTCCCTCCCCTCCCCCCCCTCCCCCCCGCGCGAGGAGGTCGGCGGCATGGGCGGACTCGAGGGGCGGGAGGTCTCCCCGCGCGCCCTGGAGCTCTAGCCGGCCGCCGCGCCCTCCTGCGCCGAGAGGCAGCCCCGCCCCTCCCGCCGGGGCCCGCCCCGCACCGCCTTCCCCGCCCTCTGCCAGGAGCGAGTGGGGCGCGGGGATCGAGCAGCGAGGAGGAGGAGGAGGAGGAGGAGGAGGAGGGGGAGGAGGAGGAGGAGGAGGAGGAGGAGGAGGAGGGGCGCGAGGATCGAGCAGCGAGGAGGAGGAGGAGGAGGGGCGTGAGGATCGAGCAGCGAGGAGGAGGAGGAGGAGGAGGAGGAGGAGGAGGAGGAGGAGGAGGAGGAGGAGGAGGAGGATGGGCGCGAGCATCGAGCAGCGAGGAGGAGGAAGAAGAGCAGCGAGGAGCGAGGAGCGAGGAGGGAGGAGGGAGGAGGGAGGAGGGAGGCGGAGCCGGCGCTCAGGACAGATCGGGGGGGACCTGGCGCGGTTCAACTTAGGACCTCGCGACACGGTGACGAGAGTTGGCGTTTGGCGACAAGCACTAGAGACGCGATATCGAAGATTGGTCTTGGTGTCCATTCAGTTCTCCCACATTTGACGGACCGAATCGTCCTCATTCACATACCTCTCCTGAGTTGGGGAGTCGAAGCGATTCCTGCGCGCGGGCCGCCCGCATTGGCTATGCACCATCAAGAGGAGGACGATGATTAGCAGAAGGTGATAGAAGAGGAGGAGCTGGAGGAGGATATGTATATGGGTATGGTTATGGACACCAAGTGGGAGGAGCAGGAGTAGGAGGACGAGGAGGAGGAATCGAAGAGGAGGCGGGGAAGGACGGTGGCGAGAAGGAGGACGTGGAGAATCAGGAAACATATCAGCAGTGGTGGGAGGAACATGCTGATGATACTGATGATGATGCTGCTGCTGATGATGATGATGATTATGATGCTGATGACGATGATGATGGCGATGATGATGATGGTGGTACTGGTGGTGATGACAGTGATGGTGATGATGATGCTGATGATGATGTTGCTGATGTTGGTGATGATGCTGATGATGATGACGACGATGATAACGATGTTGATATTGCTGACGGCGGCAATGACGATGATGATGATGATGATGATGGTGATGATGATACGGATAATGTTGTTTTGATGGTTATGATGATGGTGGTGCTGGTGATGATGATGATGATGATGATGATGATGATGATGATGATGATGATGATGATGATGATGATGATGATGATGCTGCCGATGCTGGTGTTGGTGCTGATGCTGCTGCTGATGATGATGATGATGGTGCTGCTGCTGCTGATGATGATGACGATGGTGATGAGGATGATGATGTTGCTGCTGAGGATGAGGATGAGGATGAGGATGAGGATGAGGATGAGGATGAGGATGAGGATGAGGATGATGATGAGGATGAGGATGAGGATGAGGATGATGATGGATGATGATGATGATGATGATGATGATGATGATGATGATGATTGATGATGATGGGATGATGATGATGATGATGATGCTGATGATGATGATGATGATGATGATGGTGATGATGATGAGATGATGATGATGATGATGACGATGCTGATGTCGATGATGATGATGATGAGGAGGTGGAGGGGGAGGAGGGAGGAGGAGGAGGAGGAGGAGGGAGGAGGAAGGAGGAGGCGGAGGAGCGGAGGAGGAGGAGGCGGGAGTGGGGGACCGCGGCAGGGCAGCAGGCGCAGGAGGAGGCGGAGGACGAGGAGCAGGAGGCGCGTGCGCAGGAGGCGGCGGAGGAGCCGACGGTGGAGCTGGGCGGAGGAGGCGCCCGCCCGAGCGCGGGCGGGCGCACGGCCCGCGGCCGCGCCGCGGGCGGGCGCTCGAGCCCCCCCGCCGCCCCGCGGGAAAGCGCGGCGCGCCTCTCTCGCGGCGCCCCCGTCGGCAGCTTTTGGGTCCTCCCCGCGTGCTCTGCCCCCTTCTCGTCCTCCGCCTCGTCCCCTCCTCCTCCTCCTCCCACTCCTCCACGTCCTCCACGTCCTCCTCCTCCTCATCCTCCTCCTTCTCTTCCGTCTCCTCCTCCCCCTTTTCCTCTCAAGCCATTCAGGCCCAAACGGGCGCACCTGGGGAGGTGCGCCGACTTCGGGCCGACTCTGGTGCCTGCGCGAGGCGCTTGAGGCATTTCACCCCGCTCCTGCCAGCAGCAGCGAGCAGCGTGTTGACAAAAGCCAGAGTTCATTCGCAGCATGGGGCCTCGACCATGGACTCGCTGCTGCGGCTGCGGTGCGTGCGAGTACAATGATAAGTACGACCAGCAGAGGCCATCATGCCCAAAGTGCCACAGACGTATCAAGCTGCACAAGGGCGGAGCTCGGTCACGATCCCCTTCTCGGTCCCCAGGACGAGTCCAGATCGGCGACACCGAGATCATTCCCCTCCAAGACCCTGGAGCCGCCACGAACTCCAGGCACCTCGGAGACAAAAGAAAGGACAAGGGCTCGACCAGCGTCGTCGACCATCTCCAGTCCGCCCTAGATGAGGCGACCGACCCGCAGCTGCGCGCCTTGCTCCAGGCCCAGATCCTCAGGATCGAGGCCGCCGAGGAGAGCCGCGCAGGCCACGGCTCCGTCACCACCGTGGAGGCCATGAAGAAGGCAGATGGAGCTTGGCGTGCCGCCTCCAACGGGCACACCCAGCTCGTCGCCAATGTGCTGAAGCTCAGGGAGAACCTGCGGGCCGCCGAAGCCAAAGAGGTAGAGGCGTCGCTGGAGCTCGCACGGGCCGAAGCCACCAAGAAGAAGGCAGCTGCCGCTCTCGCCCAAGCCGAAGGCGTCGGCCAGAACGATCGCAGTGAGGGCAAGGGAGGCGACAGCGGCACCGTTTTCTCTGTCACCTGGGATGCCGAGCTCTTCGCCGAGACCGAGGAGCTGGACCTGGAAGAGTCAGAGCGCACCGGGCTCACCAGCGTCAGGCAGGCGCTTGAGGGTCTCAAGAAGCAGTTCGACGAGAAGGAGCCGCAAATGAAGGAGCTGATCAGCCGTGCCCACGCGGCGCGCAAGCAGCAGCAGGAGCGGCTCGCCAAGAAGCGCAAGGGCACCGACGGCGCGACCGCGTCGGCGCAGCAGGGGGCCACTGCGGGGGACACGGCAGGAGGCGCCAGCGCGGCCGACGGCCCGCAGGCCCCAGCTCCTGCCCCTGACCCCGCGGCCGCGGCCGCCCAGGAGGAGGCCATCAAGCAGGAGGCCAAGAAGCTATCCGAGGCGAAGTTCGCAGCCCAGATGGCCGCCGCGGAGGCCAAGTCCAAGGGCAAGGGCGGCACCGCAGGCGCTGCAGGCGGCCCAGCGGCAGGGGCGAAGCCCGCCACGAAGCCCGCCGCGGCGGCGCAGCCTGCGGGGGCACCCGGTGGCACCGCGAGCTCTTGACTAGGGGCTGCGGCAGAGCAGCTCGATGGGGCGCCCAGCGGCCAGGCCACTGGCGCCTCGACGCAGGAGGCCGACACCGTCAAGACCTCCACCTTCCTGTGCAGCAACATCACGTGTATGGGGGACAAGGCGTGGGATTTCATCCTCACCCAGACCTCGCACGACTACTTCGGCCTTGCAGAGACACATATCGGACCAGCTGATGTGGGCAGGTGGTCAGGGAAAGCTCGAGGCCATAATCTTCGCATGTTTCACAACGCTGCTCGTCCATCTTCCAAGGCGCCCAGTCCCGAGGGTCGACATGATTCCCCAGGTGAATCGCAGTCAGGAGGAAACGCCAACGAAGGAGGCGAGTGGATCTTAGCTAGAGGGCATCTTCAAGCACACATCTGCCATGAGGCAATCCAATCTTCCGCGCTCAAGGCCAAACCTAGTGGCAGCCTTGACGGTTTTGTTCCTTGCGTTCTGCATTTCAAAGGATATACGCTCGTCGTCGTTGTCTTCTATGGGATCTGCAGCGTGGGCCTCTCGGGTGCCAACCTCGTGAGGTGTAGGAGACTTGGGGGTTTCCTTAGGGCCCTTCAGCTTCCATGGGTAGTCATAGGCGATTGGAACAGCCCACCGCATACTCTTCAGGCCTCGGGCTTCCTCAGGGAAGTCGGAGGCATACTTAAGTGTGCAGACGTCGAATATACTTGTGACCCAGGCGGAGGCAGGAAGGCCTCCCACCTGGACTATCTCGTTCACAGCCATGCCGCACGGTCATACATACAGCAGGTGACCCCAGTTCATGCTGTGCCGTGGCGGCCACACATTGCACTTGCCATTCACTTTGTTTCTTCAGGGGAGCAGCTCCTAACCCGCATCATGGAGTTGCCCCGACGTTTACCAAACACGGTTCGGCCCACGAAAGCTCCCACCCCTGGGTCTAAATCCAGTTTGGCCAAGGCCCAACGGGTTGAGAAGGCCGCCAAGGGACAAGAGCTTCGGGACCGCACGTATCACGCAGTGTTCGGAGATTTAATGGGCGAGGCCGACGATGCCGAGTCCACGCATGCAGGCGACTCGTCAGGTGAGGACGAGGATCCAACTTTCCCTGGTTACGCTTCAGAGGCCGAAGAAGAGGACCCCTGGGCAAGCGAGACCGTGTTCAGGCCAGCTGCCAACGTTGCAGCCGTCCTCCCGTCGCCCGCTGTGGTGCCAGCAGCTGCTCCCGCGCGCGAGGGGAAAACAGAGCCCCACGGACCTCCTAGCAGCCCCTCCAGCGCCTCTAATTCGGCCCAGCGTGAGAACCCCCCCCCGAACCTGCTAGGACCCAGGGGGCGGAGTCCACACGTGCCAGCCAGGTTTCAGATCTTCAGCAGTCTGCGGAGGGGACCTCCGACCCAGCCAGGCAGCAGCCGTCATACGATCTCTCGAGTGCCCTCTGGACCGAGCATCGTGTGCAAACGGGGATGCTCAACCCCTCTTGCTGCTGCCCTGCTGTTGCTGTTGCGCATTCCGTAGCCTTTTCGCTCAAACCTGATACCGCACTTACCCTCGGTCAGCTTTACGGCTCGTGGGTTTCCACGGTCGAGGCTACCATCCACAGCCACCACCAGCAGGACCACCTCGGCCGTTCCAGATCACAGGGGCCCGAGTTTCATGTCGTGACGGTGCGGGAGGCCCAGACGAGACGGGCCACCGCTCTCAGTGATTCGAGCAGCTCATGGTGGACCCATCTGCACACCACGTTGCAGCACACCTACCGTCATCGAGCACGTGGCAACGGCCAGCGTCAGCTACAGCAGCTTCACGAGGCCGTGGACCGTCTGCTACAAGAGGCCCCTGCAGGGGCAGCAGGCATCATCAAACCCAAGGATGATTTCCCGTGGACGAAGTGGCTGGACCTGCTCAGCCGCATTCGCACTCTCCCCGTCGAGGAGCTCGTCGACTACGCAGGAACAGCTGGTTGCCTTGCTCGACGCGCTCAGCGGCGAGCAGTTGGCAAGTCTCTCTTCGCATTCCGCGAATGGGCAATCACTGCCCCAGCCCTGAGCACACTACATCGATCGCTCAAGCCCCAGCCACAACCAGCCGAGTCGACAAAGGTGGGCAACCGCACCCTCGTGCACCCCGTGGACCTGCTCGACCACAAGGTCGCCAGCTGGCACCAGCTATGGGCACCAGCAGGACAGGCGCTAGGAGGGCTCCCCGACCTGTTTCAACACATCGTTGACAAGATTCAAGTTCAGTGTCTCCCACCACTCTCGGGAGAGGACGCACGCCATGCCCTGCGACGGCAGCGAGCGCGCACAGGCTTAGGCGCAGACCGCCTCAGCCCCCTGGACCCCCTACGCCTCCCGCAGGAGGCACTGGAGGAACTAGCCAGTCTCTTCAACACCATGGAGCAGATGCAGATGCGGCCGCACCAACTCCTCATGACCATAGGAGTCATGAGGGCCAAGAAGGACAACGGAGACCGCATCATCGGACTGCTGCCCGAGATCGCTCGCTGCTGGTCCATGTGCCGCGAGGGCGCTGTTCGATCATGGAACCGCGACTGCCACGCACATTGGGATGCAGCGATCAGGGGGAACTCAGCCCTGCGGGAGGCCTACGAGCGGGCCTTGCAGGAGGAGCTCTGCGCCTACGCAGGTGCCCCCCAGGGCCATGGCCTCTTGGACATTTCGCAGTTTTACGATTCTACCAGCTGGTGCGACCTTGGGGAGCAGGCCCTCGAGCTGGACTTCCCAGCGGGGGTCCTGGGCCTCGAACTCCTCCAATGCATCGCGCCCAGAGTCCTCACCCAGAGCGGCAATTACACGTTACCGTTTCAACCGACTCGACCAGTGGTTCAAGGACTTCGATTTGGCACCCGATTTGCTAAGGTCATCACCTATAAGGCGATTCGGAGAGCCACTCTGGTTCATGCCAGATGCTCCCACCGCATCTGGGTCGACGACCTATCCCAGCGTATGCAAGGGTCTCGGGAGGCCATCAGACGCGACCTTTTCAAGTGCCTGCTGGACACCTGCCGTGCACTTCAAGATCGCGGACTCAGCATCGCCAAGAAGAGTGTCATCTTATGCTCCAGCATGGGCGACTCGTCTGGCTCGCCATGGTTTCAAGGTTGTGCCCAAGGCCCAAGCGGCCCGCCCTGGCACCGACCTGGGCGCAGGTGCACGAGCAGCCCGCAGCACCAGGACGCAGCGCCACGCCAAGCACGGCCTGCAGCACAAGAAGATCTTGCGCCTCACCCGTGCTTCCCGACGCTGCCACGGCACAGGGAGGCTGGCCCTCCAAGGGGCCCAGGCTGGAGGCAGCTACGGACACCAACTCCACGGAGTGTTTGGCACGCAGCTGACCCTCTTCAGGAGAAGGCTCGGAGATCCGCTGGGCCCTCGCCTCCAGGGGCGATGCCTCGCAACGTTGCTGGACCTCAAGGCGGGCCCCTCCGACCCCGCACGCAAGTTCCCTCGCGAGACCATCCAGCAGTGGCTC